GGCTAAAATTTGTGTTTTGTAAACTTTTATGGCTATTTAATGGTATTAACACATAATTTTATCTATATCTATATCTATATCAAAAGGTTGTTGGAAAAATACATAAATAGAAAATTTGACTAAAAAATAAAATGTTGACTTTCTAAATTAAGTAAGATGATTAAAAGGATGTAGGTAATTAAGCTTTTTGAAAGCCAGGTAATTTAGGTAGATAATTATGAAATTATTTTGTGTAGATAGTTATGAAATTTGTTACCAAAAAAATCTCAAAGAATCCAAACATATTGGGAAGATTGTTTAAAAAAAATGCTAAAAATCTGTACGTGTAATGCAAATTTTTGGCTAAATCAGTATACTAACTTCCATAGTTTCCGCCTAAGATGTTTTGGACTGTTTTATAAAATCATATTTTACATATTCAAAGTTCTGGATTGATATCTTAATGATAATAATCTAAAAAAATAGAAAAAACTTATTTTGTTACTAATTTTCAATATCCTATTAAATATATTAGTGATAATCATTTGCAATCCTAATACGCGTATATGGATGCATCTTTTTCATATCAATCTATTTTAAAAAACGTGTGATATAAATATGCTTATATGCGTTGATATATTAGTCTTTTTCATATCAATCCATTTATTCGTAATCTCAACCTTATTGAGATTATTTTATTATGATATAATCTTTAGTTCGATTAACATTATATAAAATATAAAATAAGATAACCATGTGATTAAAATATGGAAGTCTAAACAAATGGGATACATCAATCTAATAAAATTCAATTCAAAAATATTTTCTCATTCTTCATCACACATCCACGTGAAAAAAAATGCCTAAACTAATTTCCTAATATACCACACAAAATCTTAGATATTATTTATTAAATCTATAATTTAAATAAAATTACCTACACACAATAATTAAATCAGATTGTGATATAATAGTTCAAACTTGCATTGATTTGTTACCTATTCTATGGGGATGTTTAGATATATTTTTTGTTATTAGATTTTTTGGTTTGATATGGTTAATTTTAAAAAAAAAAAGTAGTATTAGTAGATAACATGATTTTGAGTTTATATTAGAATAATATATAAAATACAATAATTAAAGTTGATTTGATATAAAAGTATGAGAGAAGTAATGTGAAGTGATATTTAGATAAAATTATGTGAGTGGAGGAATAATAAATTAAGGTGGGTGCAATATGTAAGAATGAAATATTGAGATTATTTAATTATATTCATAAATTGAGGATAGTGATGTTGAGTTAATTTTTTTTTTTCCAAAACGATAGAAGATATTATAAATCAAAAAGCACAAAGGTGCGAATACACAGCAGCCAACAGCTGAAAAGTGGGAGGACAGGTCTGAAGACCGCCTAGAATCCCAGGTAGCAACCTAGAATAAAAAACACTCGCAACTAAACTAACCGACAACACAAACCACTAAAACAAACTACAAGACCCCAACAGGGTAATACCCGAGTGTCGGACCCCACCAGGGTAATAAGGTGACACTCG